CAATTCTTTCATTCGTCGCGAAACTGTACGACCCGCTCGGTTGGGCCGCCCCGGTCGTAATTAAAGCTAAAATATTTTTACAAGAATTGTGGATGTTACATTGCGATTGGGACTCGCCCATACCCGACGAATTGAAACTTCGGTGGAGCAATTTCGTATCGGATTTTAGTGAATTGACAAAAATCAAAATTCCGAGATGGACCGGTCAAACTCCAGATAATTTAACACTCGAAATTCACGGGTTTGCAGACGCGTCAACTCGGGCTTATGCCGCTGTAGTTTATTTGCGCGTCTTTCATTCGTTTTCCGACTATACGATCAGTTTGATCGCGGCTAAGACAAAGGTCGCCCCGATAAAAACTGTTAGTATTCCGAGACTTGAATTAAATGCCGTCGTACTTTTAAGTCGACTTGTTAAATGGACAACAAATTTGCTTAATTTACGTCAAATTCAGATACATTGTTGGACGGATTCCACGATTGCGTTGGCGTGGATACGCCAGCATCCATCTAAGTGGACTACTTATGTAGCCAACCGTGTATCTGAAGTACAAAATAATCTACCGTCGGCTCGATGGAATCACGTATCGTCACAAGAAAATCCTGCAGATTGTACGTCACGCGGTCTTTCCGCGTCCGAATTGCTTTTGCATCCACTATGGTGGACTGGACCACCCTGGCTCCAGAAGCATTCTACGTCATGGCCGATTCATGACGCCTCAGTTCCGCTATCTTCCGATGCAATTCACAAGATTGCAATTGAAACTCGACAATCTGCTGTCCTTCACGTAGAAAGTGTAGAAGAATGGGATTTAGTTTATAAATTCTCGAACTGGACGAAGCTCGTCCGCGTGACAGCTTACGTTCTTCGATTTGTTTATTTGCTCAAGAAAACAAGAAAATTTTCTTGCGCCTCTCCGGCACTTAATGCTGACGAGCTTAATGATGCCGAGACGTTTTGGTTGAATTATGTTCAGAAGAGATCATTCGACTCTGAAATTGATTCTTTAAGAAAAGATAAAAGTATCTCAAAAAAGAGCTCCTTGAGAACTTTTAGTCCTTTCCTCGGGGAAGATGCATTGCTCCGTCTCGGCGGGCGGTTAAAGAATGCCGCTCTCGCCTATGATGAGCAACACCCCATCATTGTTCCACAGGGTCGAATAGCATCTCTGCTTATAGCTCATACACATAAAATTACTCTACATGGAGGAGTCCAATTAATGCTCCGCACTCTTCGCCAAAGATATTGGCTTTTAGGAAGTCGAAACGCTGTAAAACGCCATATCCGTCAGTGTATTGTTTGCACTCGTTATTCCGTTAAGCAATCAAATCAACTCATGAGTGATCTGCCTTCGCCTCGGGTTAATCAGTCTCCACCGTTCACTTACACGGGAGTTGATTACGCCGGTCCCTTCCTCATCACACCGTTCGTAGGAAGAGGACAGAAGGCGAGAAAAAATTGGGTAGCCTTGTTCATCTGTCTAGTAACCAAGGCTATTCATTTGGAGCTGGTTGAAGATTGTTCAAGTGCTGGATTTCTTTCCGCCTTTCGTAGGTTTGTTAGTCGCCGAGGTTTACCGAAAAGCCTTTATAGCGACAACGGTACGAATTTTCAGGGAGCGGACAAGGAAATGAAGAGCACATTCGAAGCTCTGATGAAAGACCCGGCATTACACGACTGTCTTGCAAATGATCGCATTGAGTGGAAGTTTATTCCTTCTGCTGCTCCGCATTTTGGTGGATTGTGGGAAGCGGGCGTGAAAAGTTTTAAATCGCGCCTCAAGAGAGTAGCCGGGTCGCGTACCCTGTCACAGGCTGAATTCGCGACCCTCCTCTGTCAAATAGAGGCGTGTTTAAACTCACGACCTATCGCGGCGCTCAGCGACGACCCGAGCGATTTGTCCGCGCTCACACCGGGTCATTTTTTGATCGGCCGACCGATCATCGCGGTACCGGAGGAATCAGTACTCGCGATAAACGCTAATCGACTGCAGAGATGGCAACTAATCCAAGCGATGACCGAGCAACTTTGGCGGACATGGTCGCAAGATTATTTGCACTCTCTGCAACAGCGTCAAAAATGGACGGAAAAAACTTCATGTTTTTGCGTAGGCAAGTTAGTATTGTTAAAGAACCCTTTGCTCCCTCCGAGTAAATGGGAACTCGGACGAGTAACTCAGATCCATCCTGGATCTGACGGACTCGTGCGCGTCGTTACTGTGCGAACCGCGCGTTCCGTTTTAAAGAGACCTATCACGTTACTGTGTAGACTACCGATTAACAGTGATAGATAATCGAACTTTGGTTAACAAACTAACTTTGCGTCGTAAATTTAATTTAAATTTAAGAATTAATATTAAGTCTAATAAATGTATTATATTAAGGAATTATTATTTGTATCCTTCAGATTATCAAACAAGATATGGTAACCTTGTTATTCAATCCTCCGTGGATTATATCGTTGTACTGGTTTGCGCTCGAGGACTCGAGATCGTCAAACAGTATTTACTCACAAAAAGAACTTTCTAGTCTATTGTTAAGAAAGTCTTTAGAATAATAGCATCAGATTTCTGTTTTCAATTTATAATAGTGTTTTTTCGCGCTCTCATCGTTAATTTCTATTATTCGGTTGTCGAGACCTTTTGTATCACCTTTGTAATCCGCGTCTCAAAGTCAAAATTGACAATTACTTTCGCATCCGTTCGCATGCGAGGCGGGCGGTATGTTCAAAATATTAAGAAAAATATAAGCGAAAAATAAGGTCATTTCGAGACATATCGTTCTGCTTAACAGTTCTTAAATTATTTTCGACATCACGCGCTCGAGGAAGAAAAACACGTGTTTTCTTCCAATGTTTTCGATACTCGGCCCGAGCGCCAGCGAATCGGAGTCGAGCACGTACGTGCCACGCGCTTTGTTTGTGATCTATCCAAAAACCTTGTTACCGAATTCAAAAGGTGAGAGTCAGTCTGTCCAGAGAATTAGCGGAGCAAGGTGCTCCCTTATCCGCTTTCGAAAAGAATCCCGCGTTGGACTCTTTATTTTAATTGAACGAGAGCGTCGCGCGTGATATAAATCGCGAGTAGATTTGTTAATTTATTACTCCGATCGGGTTTAATAAACTATTTAATAAATAGCTTGTGAAAAGAAAGAATCGTTTCTCTCGCTCATTATCCAACTGTTCCGTATCCACGAATCCGCAAAATTAAATAAATAACTTTGTATGTGGAGAAAACGTACCGAAGGTTCTCGCACAATATTGATTTGTCTCAAGTGCCAAACAACAAACAATTAGTGTATAAAATATTTCATTATATTTCATTATACTTACAAGTACATGTTATACTTGTGTATGAATTGATGGATACTTGTTCTTTCAAACAAATGGGCGTGTGGTAAAATATCATCCTAGATTAGTGTCAAGAACTACATCTGTGTTTGTAATTGCGCTTTGGCGTTTTACATATTGTTTTCTTAATTTGCAATACAACAGACAGTAACATTTATAATTGACTAACTCTGAAATTAGATAAATAATTGATTACTTCCAAGTAATAAATAAAAAACAATAAAGTATAATATTTTATACTTGCAAACATTTGTGATGTAATGTATCTCCAAATAAACGAGGTGCATACAGATGAAAAGATAGCTGACGGCCTATCAGTGGACATTAATATATGACAATTTCATGGAGTTACATAAATAACTTGAATATTTTTAGTAATACACGTAGTATTTGAATAACGAATATACTTGCAAGGCTTAGAAATTATTATCTAAATATATTAAATCTATGGTTGAATATACATTGTCCTACTACTCATTATAATACTTTAGTTAGTGACTATTCTGTGGAAATATTATAGCTGAATATTCAGTGATATTAGCTAAAATAATATTAACCTTATATACGATAGAGTTGGATAAATCTTTTAGTGTTGTGGTTAAACATCATCTTAAAACAGTGTAAAGGAACACACTTGTGTTTGTAATTACGCTTTGGCGTTTTACATCCTGTCTCCTCAATCTGAAATACAACAGACAGTCTATATTATATATGACTAACTCTGAAGTTGGATAAGAATGATTAATCTTAAGTGATAAACATCAAATAATAAAGTATAATATTGTTTATACTTAAATACCTGTGATGTATTATATCTTCAAATAAACGAGGTGTTTGTACGTGGAAGATAGCTTGTCGGCCTTTTATGTGACATTTATATATAATAATTTACCTGGAATCATACAAATATTTTGACTATTTTTAGTACTGCATGTAGCAAGTTTATAGATTGATACTGAAAACGGACTTGAATAGTTAATATTCTTCTATAAAGTTTAGAAATCATATATAAAGTGGTGGTGAAATCTATAATATACTTTGACTTGTTTTAAAATACTTTAGTTTGTGAAATATAATAGCTTTATAAATATCTTTTGATATTAGCTAAAATAACATTAATCTTATATATGACTGAGTTGGATAAATTTTGTAGTGTTGTGATAAAATTTCATCTTAGAACAGTGTTAAGAAACACACTTGCGTTGTAATTGCGCCTTGGCATTTTACATCTTATCCTCATAATCTAAAACATAACAGACAGTTAATACTTGACTAATTGATTTTAAGTTAGATGTACGTAAATAATAAATTCTAAGTGCTAGACGAAGATATTGAGGTGTAATATTACTAATATTATTAGTATTACACTTGTAATAATCACCTGTGATGCGTCTACGATAACTAATGGATGCATAAATGAGATGCCTAAAGTTCAAAATAAATTGGTGGTCTTCCTGTGTGTGAAATATGATAGTTGTTATGTCTTGAGGTGGCGGGGTAAGACTATACACCGTTACACGCCGAATACATCGACTTGTTTTGGTGACAGCTCAGCGGCAACTGCCTTATGCTGGTTATTCGAGGTGTAGGATAACAACAACGTCGATCACCTTGTCGACCTACCTATCGATACATTACAATTTCCTCCCTTTTACGACGTGTTTACTTTTCCTTTTAATCTCGCAGAACGACGCACGCACATCTGTTGTTCGGCTGCCGCCCTTCCTGCATCGGTTCCATCTATTAATTCGTCGGTTCCCCTAATTTTAATTATTTGGTCTACGTGTCTCTTCCACGTACAGTTAGGAGAAATTTCGACCTCAAAAGTTACAGGCGATAACTGCTTTATTATTTTTCCCCGACTGCGTTTCTTATTTCGGACACTAAAATCATCAACCATTACTTCTTCACCGATTTGAAATGTGACGTTACGATGCCCCTTGCGAGCCGCTATTTGAGCAATGTGCTTATTCTCGATGTTGTCGGTCGCGTCCGGTTTAAGTAAATCGAATCTTGTCCTTAGCTCTCGTTTATACATCATCCACGCCGGAGTTCTACCTGTCGTACAATGTTCAGTTGACCGGTAGTCAAATAAAAATAGATTTATCGCGTACTCAAGTGTTTTACCACTCTTAACCATTTTTTCGACCTTATTTTTAAATGTTCCAACAAAATTTTCCGCCGCCCCATTCGTAGCAGGGTGATGAGGTGCTGAAAAACTTTGTTTAATACCGTTTTTCCTCATAAATTCTCTAAATTCAACACTCGTGAATTGGATCCCGTTGTCGGTAACTAAATGTCTCGGTAGTCCAAATCTACCTAACATCTTAAATTCCGCCAGCACCTTCGGTACCTGAGTACAATTGTTCATGTCGACAATCTCTGGCCACTTTGAATGCGCGTCTATTATAAGCATAAACATATGCCCGTGAAACGGACCTAGAAAATCGCAATGAATCCTACTGCAGGCTTTATCCGGCCACGGCCAAGGTGTTAACGGTACATTCGCAGGTTTCTTTCGTTCTTGCGCGCAAACCGAACATGCCGCCGTTACTAATTCTATATCTCTGTCAATGTTCGGCCACCACATATATGACCTCGCTAACATTTTCATTTTCACAGTCCCGAAATGAGACGCGTGTAACTCTCGCAACACACTCTCTCTCATTCTTTCTGGAATAACTACTCTGTATCCCCACATTATACAACCCTTTTCTATTATTAATTTATCTCGTTTTGTAAAATACTTTTCTTCGCTTTCATTTAGTTCTTTCGGCCACATATCATTTATATATTTACTAATCTGACTTAACGTCTTATCGCGCTTTGTTTCTCTCGCAATCTCCACCGCATTTAGTGTTTCGATATTTTCTTGCACATAATTTATCGCTGTGTATTCATTCTCGAACACTGGCATTACATCGCTTATCGGAAGCCTCGATAGTGCATCACAATTACCGTTTTGTGCTGATCGGATATATTCTACCTTGTAAGAAAATCTTGATAAGAAGTAAGCCCATCTCTGCAATCTACTTGCTACTGTTAATGGAATTTCCTGCTTCGGGCCGAAAATATATACTAAGGGCTTGTGATCGGTTCTCAAAACGATATGTTTCCCGTATATATAATTGTAAAATTTTTTGAAACCAAATATAATTGCACTTGCTTCCTTATCAATCGGTGCTCGATGTAATTCCCCGTCCGAAATGACCTTGGACGCGTAAGCTATCGGTTTCTCAATACCGTCGGCGTATTTATGTGATAGTATCGCTGATAATCCGTACGCCGAGGCGTCGCACGCTAAGATAATCTCTTCTTTCGGATCATAATGCGCTAACACTTTTGACGATGTTAGTTCAGTTTTTACCCATTCAAAGGCTTTATCGCAACTTTTGGTCCATTCAAACTTACTTCCCTTAACACACTCGTATAACGGTTTTAGCATTTCCGCCCTGTCCGGCAGAAATCTCGCATAATACGTAACTAACCCTATAAAAGACTGTAATTGTTTAAGGTTTTGCGGCTTCGGTGCCTCACTCATCGCTTTTACTTTAGTTATGGATTTATGCAAGCCATTCCTGTCGATTACGAATCCGAGAATGTCTAGTTTTTCTTTAAAGAAGTCGCATTTCTTAATATTTACTTTAAACCCACAACTTCCCAGACGATCAAATACTTCCTTTAATGTTTGGAGATGCTCTTCGTCAGTTTCCCCGGTGCAGAATATATTATCTAAATATGGGATTGCGCCCCTTACACCCGCCAAACACTGCTCGATTTTCCGTTGAAAATCTCCCGGCCCCGATGCTATACCTTCAGTCAGTTTCGTGTATCTATATAGTCCTTTGTGCGTTATTATCGCCAAATAGTTCCGAGAACTCTCTTCTACTGGAATTTGCATATACGCGTGTGTCAAGTCTATTTGCGAATACGTTTTTCCATTTCTTAACGCGGCGAAAATCTCATCTATTAACGGCAAAGGATGGCGATCTATAATCAGCCATGGATTTATTGTTAATTTAAAGTTTCCGCAGATCCTGACCGATCCGTCATTTTTTATTACCGGCACTATAGGAGTTGCCCATTCGCTAACTTCAATTTTCTCCAGATGCCCTAGTTTAACTAATCTATTAATTTCTGTTTCGACTTTTTCATTTAGCGCGAATGGTAGTCTCCGTGCTTTCAATGCTACCGGCTTCGCACCTTCTTTTAATACTAATTTCAGCATACCTTTATTATATACTCCGAGTCCCGGACCAAACAACGTGGGATGCTGCCTTACAAACTCATTTCTTACGTTCGCTACATCCATCTTATGTATTACTCTTTCGCTAACTAACTCGCTCTTAATCGCTAGCGGCCATAACCCGAGGAGTTTTAACCATTGCCTGCCTATTAGCGTCGGCCCCGCTCGCGACATTACTATCATATTTGCTTTAACTTCTTTTTTGCCTAACTTCACGACAAGATCCTGTAATATTCCTTCGTGACTTAAAGGTGTTTGATCGTATGCATTCAACGTTTTACTTAACTTTTTCACCTCTAGTGTCGGAAGTAATTTATTTTTATTTTCCCTCGATATTATCGACGCGTACGTACCCGTATCGATCTCCATATTTACGCTTTTTCCGTTTATCGCGACGTTTACATACATAGGTTCCGCTATGACCTTGTCCCCGCTTGATTCTATGGTACCGCATGTTGATTCCTCGCTGTTCCCTCCTAGCTCGAGGTTAAGAAAGTCGTATGTCCCTTTGTCCTTCTCTGCTCCTACGTCAACATGTTGGACGTCTTCCTTCTTCCTTCGGCACTGCGTGGCTAAATGACCCTTCTTATTGCAGCTTGTACACGTTTTATGGCGATGGAAACAGTCCCGCGCCCAGTGGTTCGCCTTCCCACAGCAGTAACAATTTCTGCTGCCTGTTGAGCTTTGTGACGATGGGCCTGTGTTTCCATTCGCGTGTTTTGCATTTCCGTGACCTTGTTTACCACGATAATTATTTCGCTGCTTCCCGTAATTCCAATTCGGTTTGGCAACTGTGCAAATTGTATTAACATTTGTTTGCGCTGCCGTAGCTGTATTAAGTTTATCCGTGGACGTGGCATTCCTCTCGGCTTCCTCCGCTGCCGTTGCTATTTTATACGCCTTGTCGTATGTTAAGCCTTCTTCTCGAAACAACAGTATCTTTGTAGCATGGTCTTTTATTCCACATACCAGTTGATCTCGTAGAGCTGTTGCCGCATCTTTGAATCCACAGTTTATTGACAATCTTTTTAGTCTCGCCGCGAATTCTGCGATTGATTCCGTCGCCGCTTGTTGCGCTTGGTGGAACTTACATCGTTCCATCGCTTCCGATGGTTTCGGGCATAAATGGTTTGACATCAACTTTATTAACTGCTCATACGTTTTTGTTATAGGCTTATCTGGTGCACACAGATCTCTTATCAATTTATATGCTTTCGCACTTATTTTAGTTAATAACACTGGCACCTTCTTAGCGTTTTCCACGTCGTTCGCCAAGAAATACAATTTTAAGCGTTCGGTATACGTTTCCCAATCGTCCTTGCCCAAGTGAAATTCCAATTTTGAGTTATTATCGTTTGCCATTGTGTGAGTTGCCTTCCCTTTGGAATGCTTCTCTGTGTTGTCACTCTCTCTACCGTTCGCCGTCATCTTCGCGCTACCTTGATCTCGTACGTGCCGTGCCAATACTCTTCGCAACGTATCTATACTATCGTTTTCCTTGAAAACTAAATCGCCGTCTACTGAAGCTGTCTGCTGGAGCTTCTCAATTAATTGCGATTTCGATAGTTTATAAATCACGATGTCGGCATTTATTAGACACCGCACTTTCCCTCGGTTATTTGCACTCTTTTTCTTATTAGCTTGCATTATGCGTTCACTATTTTTCCTCGTCGCCAAAATTGTTATGTCTTGAGGTGGCGGGGTAAGACTATACACCGTTACACGCCGAATACATCGACTTGTTTTGGTGACAGCTCAGCGGCAACTGCCTTATGCTGGTTATTCGAGGTGTAGGATAACAACAACGTCGATCACCTTGTCGATCTACCTATCGATACATTACAATAATCATCTGAAATTATACAGATTCTTTGATTATTCTTTAGTAATACGTTTATTAAGTTGAAAATAGATCAACAAAACAGATCTGAATGACTAATATACACTTTATAACATCTGATAATCATTATTCAAACTCTAAGTCGGTAGTGAAACATACATTGTATTGTTTTACTACATATTAAGCATTTTGCTGTGAATTCTTATAGTGTTGTGTTGAAATATTAAAATTTTTAAAATATTTAAACACTAAATAAATCAACTTACATCTGTATGATTGGTAAAATATTTATAAAACTGAATGGTGAATTGATGCTCTTATACATCTTAATCTGGGACGGAGTGAGATTTAGCTGAGATGCTGAGGCCGTTTTCCTGGTGATCCTGGAGCTGCTGACGTACTGGAATTCCTGGGATTTCTCAAATGTTCTTGGTAATCTTACGAAGCCTTCCATCACCTTGGAGTTCTTTTCGCTGCGTAAAGATAAGTGAAATCATTATACACATACGTTTTTATGTGATAAATAGAGTGATACATAATGACATGTAGAGCCATTTGCATATGACTGCGTAATTTCTTAATGAGCATAAATTAAGTAATTAATGGATTGTTGCAACTTTACATATTCAGACTATAACCAATAATTATTAGAAATCTGGATCTAAGAATATTATGTGAGAATATAGTTTTGATATATATATATACACATATATATAAATAAGATAGCCTTATAATTAATCAATAATTAAATATACTTTGAACTCACGTCATCCCTAAAGTGCCAAATAAGTGACTCTCTTTGCGAGGTTACATTTGTGTTGATGTGCCTGAAGTTGCGGTAAACCTAGATACAATCCAGATGACTTATTGACACTTGCGTCACTGTGATGCGAAGTATCTTTTTTTTGGAGGTTACATCTAATACTCCTGTATCTTAAAGTGGTGTGCCTCTTATCGTTAATTACAATGATTACCATGTATTATTGACTTCCGGCTAATGCATGAGGAAAACACATATCCTAAAAAAATCATAAAAATGAAAAGGTCAGGCCATGTTCAAAAGAAGGTACTCAAAAATTTAAACAATCTAATAATAAATTATCACGAAAAGTAACTGATATGTTATTCAAGGTGCCAGTTCAAAGTGAACATACGTAAAGTGTATATTATCTAAATTTAGTAATAATATATTACCATGAAAAGTAACTGTGATATTTTATTCAAGGTGCAAGTTCACATTGAATATACATAAATATAAGTAAAACTGATTACAATTTGATTCTAGAAAATAAGTGCGATATGTTATTCTTAGTGCACAAAATATAATAGTCGTTTATAGAGATTTGATTTGAAATTCATACTAGCCCGTACAATGAAAAATAATTGCTCGTAATTCCAGAGTACCAATTTGTTAATGACTCAGAAAAATAACATGGCGGCCTTCTTCATCCGGCGATTTTCCTAATACTGGAGCATCTTTTATCCAAATCATACAATGCATGTGCTGAATACCTCTACTCTGATATTCCAGTCGCCAGAAGTAATGAATAACCTTTCCTATTGGATTATCGGACGAATAAATAAAATCAATCATGGCTTTGAATTTTATGCACATGAATCTAGAAGTACTTACAGGATCGTATGCGACTAGTTCGCTGATGCCTAACTTCTTTTTATCGGGATTCATATCTCGTAAATATTCACCCAAATCGGACCATTTCTATTCACTAGGACTCAAAGTCAAAAACCACGTCGCTGGACCGTAATGCAAAGTCATGCATTTTACATTATTGGACGGTTGTCGCCAAAATTGATCCGTATTTCTCAATTTTGCGAAAATACTCATTAAATTCGATTCTAATTCGTAACCTTTCAATTCGTTCAAGTATCTACCAGCAGTGTATCTCTCTCGTGAGTTAGTAACCATCATCGTATAATAGATACCACTTTTCAACTGTCGGTAGTTAGCATCATTGAGAAGGAAAAACAGATACTGCAGATTCAACCTGAATCTACTATGTTTCGACATCAATCGTGTTCTAATAAATAAATATTCCGGCAATGCAAAGTTTCTATCTTCTCGTTGTCCACCATCAGGATATAAATCAGGGAAACACATGACATCCAGATATTTATAACGATTATCCATTGGAAAATCTTCAATTTTCATCATTTGATAAAGCTTCAATGCAGATTCGTTATCGATTCTTTTCGCGTGTATTGGGTATATTGTATACTGATCGTTAATATCCGAATCTTCAGTGATTTGTGTGAGGAAAGCCCTACGTTTTAAAACGATTTGATCATTATTATTTTTGTTTTCCTGTACATTGTACAAATTCAATGCTGGTAATTTCTCAACCACCTCATTTATTTCGTCATTGTCGCTTTCGTCATCGACAATCCGATATTCTGTTTCCTGCAACTTATCATTTAATAGATCATTAGATGACGCCGGAAGACGAATTTTCGAGTAATGAGGATTATTTTCTTTCAACCATTGTAAAGCCTTATACACTTTATTAATATCTACCAAATTTTCCCAAACCACTTTAGATTTCTTGGGTATACCTCGAACGAGAATGTGCAACTCGTGATTCAAATTTATAGGATCTTTCGGAGGACATACCTTATCCAATGTTTCTTGTAAAGATAGAGGCAAATGAAATGTTCTACCTTTTACTTTGCGGATCATTTGTCTATGCGGTATATGTTTGTTCGAAACATTGCCCATCAATTGCACTACTTGAAAGCTGCTCATTCTCTTGATTAACATTTTTTCGTAATCACTGAAATCTGACAAAACATCTGGTAATGGTTTTACCGCAAGATTATTCAAAATGCAAGTAGAAGGCAACACGCCTTTTTGAAATTTACCCAAACAAAGCTTACAAACGAATTCAGTATTATTATACTGTGTTCTGTTACGTTTGCTATCAGATCTTTCCAAAAAGGTCCGTCTATTGTTTTCCTCAGCTTCTCGAGCTTAGAAACGTCTCTTCTCAAGCATAATTTTTCGCAAGAGATGCAAGGGATACGTGGTAAATCCAACAATCGCTTTTTCATGACTTTAAATGCTTCGTAATTTTGCGAGAAAATCTTTTCCTCGTCCAAACAAACATCAGTTACATTTTTTGGATAAAATCTTGCTTTATTCTTAAAATCATTGGAAATTTCAACTAATTTATCCATATTGATGAATCTCAAAGATGAAAACAGTTGACAAAACTTATTATAATTGTCGATCAATTTGTAAACATTTCTTCGAATATTCCTCACGAAAGAGAAATGAGGTGATAAAGTGTTTATCATTGCAATGTATGACTTGCAAAGATTTGGATTTGTATAGCATTCCGGAGGATGTCCTAATCTGCTACTCGTACGTGAAACGGAACAATTTTTTAGCTGCGCCATGAATTTAACATTCATTATCTTTTTCAAAGTACCTTCTTCAAACAGTTCCAAAAATTTTACAAACTTCCATGGAAGTATCATTTATGTGGCATTTGTTCTCATCACAATGCCACATTTTTAACTTTTTACCATTGTTATCTGTTAACGGCAAAACATTTATTACTCCGTGAGGAGAGGATTGTCTCATTATAAGTGGTTGCTCAAACTTTTTCCTTTGCTCATAAGCAGTTTCATAAAAGTACGCTTCGGAAGACGAAGTATGTTTGGATAAGCCACAAAGAGCTCTAAGTTGATCGCTTTTTGGATATTTCAAAGTCTTACATTCATTGAATCGCAATAACGCAGCTTCAGCAACGTTTTTCAAATATGAAAACACTTTTCTTGCTGCATTGAGGTACAATTTTTTTGCTATTACACACCACTTAAATATCTGTTCGGCTTCCAATCGAGCACATATTGTTGATTTATTAATTTTTCTCGACATCTGTTGAATATAAAACTCTGAATATTTTGGAAACTTAAAACACTTTTGCCAAGATCAAACGGTATTAAATTTTTCCTTCATTCTCTTAAACATTTTCCATCTTTGTACGATAGACTTCTCGCTACGTTTTGCATTGCACCTCTTGTTGTACAATTTTTTTGAGTCGAGTATTTTTGTCTGAATTTTCGTTGGCGGTCTCTTTCACGGGCAGCACTTTTTAAATAATTTTTTCTTTTGACGTACCTTTTATTTTCTATATCTTTTTGGTATTTGCCCCGCTTTCTTTTACGTATTCCCTCAAGATCTTTTTTATATATATCACGCATTTTTTGACGCTTTGTTTCAGGATCCTTTTGGTACTGATCACGCACCATCTGAAGTTTTGTTTCAGGATCCTTATGGTACTGATCACGCACCATCTGACGTTTTGTTTCAGGATCCTTATAGTACTGATCACGCACCATCTGACGTTTTGTTTCAGGATCCTTATGGTACTGATCACGCACCATCTGACATTTTGTTTCAGGATCCTTATGGTACTGATCACGCACCATCTGACGTTTTGTTTCAGGATCCTTATGGTACTGATCACGCACCATCTGACATTTTGTTTCAGGATCCTTATGGTACTGATCACGCACCATCTGACGTTTTGTTTCAGGATCCTTATGGTATTGATCACGCACCATTTGACGTTTTGTTTCAGGATCTTTATGGTACTGATCACGCACCATCTGACGTTTTGTTTCAGGATCCTTATGGTACTGATCACGCATTATCTGACGTTTTGTTGCAGGATTCATAAAATATTTTTCTTTGTGAGAAGAAGCATCTTTTTCGATTCGTTTCGAACGCTGTTCCTCAGTTTCCTTACTACGTGCAAGTCTTTTTCTCAGTGCATCTCTCTCT